ATCATATGAATTGTATTACATGCCGCATGTTGAAGGGAGGTGTGAGTGTGTGTGTATGAGTGTCAGTGTGTCTGTCTGCATATGTGTAGATGTGGGTGTGTATTATTTCTAATTTTGAATCCTGGATCATATTACATTTGTCCAGTAATCCGTTCCAGAGATATAACCCTGGATGCTCCTTCACACTCCTATTTGCAATGTCTTTTCATCCCTCTCAGCTCTTTTTTGGGAAGTTGCTTATTTTTTGCACCTCTAGCTTCTTCATTGAGGTTCATAATGCTGCTGTAACTCCATCCTGAGCTGAGTTTGCTGGATATAGAGAAATATGGGTTTTCTCTAAACCTTCAGTAGCTTTCTACTAAGAATAATACAGAACAAATTCCTTAGGATGGCACTCAAGCCGCAGACCAGGTCTCAGTTCCCAAGTATTCCTTCCTACTTACTTTCCATCCCTGTGCCACTTGAACTGCTGTTTGGCTGTTAGTTTTCTAAAAGTTATATAATTTCTTTCCTGTAGCAGCAGTTATATTTGGCTTTTACATTTTTTATTCATCTGAGTACCTCGTACTACTGTAAATTCTCAGGGGACCTGTTTTGTTTTTTTTTTGTTTTTTTTGTTTTTTTTTGTTTTTTTTTTTTTGGTTTTTTAAAATACTTTTTTTTAAAAAAAAAAAAAAAAAGAACTTTAGTTCTAGGTTTAACTTTATGCCTTGGGCAAATAACTGAATCTCTGAGACTCCGTTTTCCCTGTTTAGAGAGTAGTGTCAGTATATGGATAGCCTATATCCCAGTGCTGTGAGAATGAGTGCTCAAGTATAGAAAGAACATGGGAAGTTGTGATGTAGTCTAAAAGTTGTAGCTACTATTACTGATTTTAGATTTGAGTAAGAATCATGGTTATTTTATGTATCTTGCTCATATTAACCATAAAGTCATCTTAAAGTAACATGGGATAAAGATTTCCATCATGCAAAATACATAACATCCTAAATGACAGAACGTTTTGAAAGAACATTTTTCATTTCCATAAATTCAGGTAGAATCAGGAATTCTGGTCAAGTAAGAAGGCCTGGGGCGGCCACCCTGGGCTGACAGGGAGCTGTAGTTGTCCTCTGCGAGTCTCTTTACTCTGTCTCTGTTTCTTTATCTGAGCAGATTATACATGGATTATACATGATTTCAAAGTAAATATGAATCTAACAATATTTTTAGGAAAGGAAGAAAGATTATCTTTTAGCTAATAACAAATAAATACAGTTTTCTGCATTAAGGATCACATCCTATTAGGTCTAGTAGTTCTTTAGCTTCCTTGGTGATATTTATGTTTTTCTTTTGTGAAACAGGGTCTTCCTTTGTAGCCAAACTGGCCTTTAACTCATCATCAGTTCTGGGATCAAAGTCTTGGGATTACATGTATTTTACAATGCTAGTATTTTATTTGATTTTTTTGTTGTTTATTTTTTTGTTTAGTTTTGTTTTGCTTTGAGACAGGGTCTCCCTGTAGCCCCAGCTGGCCTGGAACTTGTTATATAGACCAGGCTGGCCTTGATCTCACACAGATCCACTTGCCTCTGCCTCCTTAGTGCTGGGATTAAAGATGTGCACTACCATGACCAGCTCTAATTTTTTCTTTTTTTAAATTAAGTTTTTGCGTTAGCATAGACAGTAAGGGATTTCATCATAGCATCCTAGTACATGTGTCATTATTGTTTAGACTATTTTTAGTGTGTTTTATATAGTAAGGCTTTTACAAAACTAACCATTTTTAAGTTGACAATGCTATGCAAAAAGCTAATAATTACTAGTGACATATTTTACATTATTTTGTGCACTGTCTTGAAGTCTAGGTTTATTTTGCATCTGCAGCATATCTCAGTTTAGACCAGCCACATCTCAAGTGCTTGGTAGCCACATGTCCATCTAATGGTTTCTGCATTAGTCAGCACTGCTCTATGCCCTCAGCAGAGTACCTTTGTGACTGAGCTCTTTCCCAAGGTTCTGGGGGTACATTGCACTTGCCGTTGCCCCTTTCCTCTGCTTCTGTCCACCAGCTGGTGCTCCTTCCCCCTCTAAGTTGAGTTTGTGATATGCTACCAATATTAGTTTAACCTTTTCCAATGTATAAGTTACCGGTGTGAAAGCTAACATGTATTTTGATTTTAGGTTGTTTTTTGAGCCAGTGACAACCCCTTGTGGACATTCATTTTGTAAGAATTGTCTTGAGCGTTGTTTAGATCATGCACCATATTGTCCTCTCTGCAAAGAAAGCTTAAAAGAGGTATGCATTCGTATCTATTTATTGGTCATACTTGTGGCAACATGGTTTGATTTCTTTCTAGACACAGAAATAGTGATTGTCATTTTCAGAGTGAGGTACATTATACATTCTGAGTGTAAAGACTGTTTTTTTGCCCATGTACTAGTGTTAGGGAAAAAGTGAAGTTGAGAGTGTTGTTGGAAAAATAGGTCCTGAGACCACAGCGAAGAAAAAGGGTATAGTTGGCTACCTGCTCAAGGATAGGTTTAGTTTTAGTTTTAATGGTTACAACATTGAGGGAAACTCGGCTGCCTTGCATCTCATCCAAACTTGAGACCTGTCTGGCTCCCTTAACATCTGGAACAACTGCCCTACCAAATTCAGTAGCCGCTAGACACACACTATTGAAGCTCTTGAATTGTGGCCAGTATGGCTGGGACTTGTTTTCATTTTGTTTAATTAACTTAAAAGAAGGCACAGTAACTAATGTTTACCACACTGGACAGTGCAGCTCTAGAAAGCCTTGCAACAGAAGGAAAAGAGGCAGGACTTCCCTCTCCTCTCAGAGTTACTGATCAGCACTGGCACCCTGTGATGGGAAGGTGGTCACAGTGTATCTCCTGTCTCCAAGGGAGTACAGCACACTCAATTGTGACTGGGATTAGCAAAATGCAGCTCAGGCCTCCTGTGCTGTGTAGCAGCTGCAGTGGGAGCATCCATGGGAAAAGTGGCTCCCTGTGGTGATTAACAGCATTATGTACTGAAAAAAGCATCTTCCGCATGTGAACTCAAAAATTAAAACCATTCTGAATATAGAGTTTTCTATATAAAAAACATACCTGTATAGAAAGCACAATAGTATCTTTGTGTTACATTTGATGTGTCTTATATAGCCAGCTGCCATCTTTAAAATACACATTCTATAATTAGTATGCTGTTTAAAATGCTTACTTTTCCTGTTTCCAACCTTGAAGATGGCCTGTAAAATGTAAATGTATGTAGTAATTTAAAAACTAATACTAATATGTGCTACAGTTTTATATTTTTCCTACTTCGTTTTTACTGTGCTCATTTTCCCACTAAGTATAGTTTAACAGCATAATTTTTGGAAAAGCTTAATAGAAAATGATTTAGCATTTCCCTGTTACAGAGTATATATTGTTCTCTCCTTTTGTTTATATACCATAAATTAATGATTATACATATATTTAACAATCCTCAGGCTAATTCCTGGGAGTTGAATTACTTGGTCAGAGGGTTTATTTTTACAGTAATCTAAAAAACAATTGTCAGACTGCATAACCTCTAGAAATGTACAGATTCAGACTCCCTCCAGTCATATAAGGCCATATTTCCTCAGCTATAATTATGTGGGCAATAAATTTTTAGAAATTTAGTAGAAGATAATAAGAGACCAGCTCTTATAAAGCCTGTTTATTTGATTCAACTCTTAGTTGTCAGCATAGGTGTTCCTGCTCAAGTACTCCTCTCTGTTTTAAATGTCTCAATATATGTTCGCCTGATCAGCAGTGTCTATATCCTCAGAAAGCTTGCTAGAACTATTGATTCTCAGACTACACTTCAGATCCACTTAAGTCAGAATCCTGGATTGGGGCCCAGGATTGTCTCTAACAAGCCTTCCTAGTCAAGCTTAAAGCCACTTCCATAGCCACTTTCAACCAAATGCTTGGATTTCCTAACATATTCTTCATTGACTCAAAAGCACTTATTTATGATGACTCTATAGATTAAAGGACAGCTTTTGCTTGTTTTGTAACTTCTTTTTCCTCCCAAGAATTCTTCATCATTACTTATATTTAATAAGTGTGTGTTTTCTGTCTGTATGCTCTAAGTGCGTCCCTGGCCTTAAGCAATTTTCAGTTTAATTACAGAGATTTAATGTATCTTTACCAAAAGATACAGTGCATAGGTGGATAAGTTCCTTTACTCTTATGTAGTTCAAATACACAGTTCTGAAGTAACAAAATTAATTAAGGAAGACGTCATGAACAAGTAGTCAGAGCTGGACTTTAGAGAGGTCTTTCACAGGTAGGAGTAAGATGGATGGTTCTTAATCATTCCACATAGAGAATGACAAATGATTATGTGAGTGCAGTTTTGTAGACTATTTAAGGAGTAGCACAAATAGGCCATTTTGTCCAGAGGTCAAGTGTCGTACAGGAAGCACAGCATCTTGGTAGGTCTGACAGGTAGTAACATTGGAGGGAAAACCTGAAAGAAACATAATCTAAAGAGCTGGGCATGGTGGCTCACATCTATAATCCTACCACCCAAGGAGGCTGAAGCAGGAGGTCCTGGAATTTCAGGCCAGCCTGGGTAGCAAAGTGAGACCTTGTCTTAGAAAACCAACCAAACAAACAAAAAGCCAGAAACAACATTACCAAAACCAAAAACTATATAGACTGTCTTTGAAAGTAGAACTCAAGAAAGGAATTGTTTTGCCTTTTTTTTTTTTTTTTTTTTTTTTGAGTCAGGGTCTCCCTGTAGCCCCAGCTGTCCTGGAACTCCCTATGTAAAGATCCACCTGCCTCTGCCTCCCAAGTGCTGGGATTAAAGGCATGCACCACCACTCCTGGCTTGTTTTGCCTTTTTAAAAATTATTTTTATTATTTGTTTGTGTGTGAATATTTAAGTACACCTGTGTGTGCAATGCTCATGGAGACCAGAAGTGGGCATTGGATCCCCTGGAGTTGAAGTTATGGTCAGTTGTTAGCTACCACGTGGGTGCTAGGAACTGAACCCAGGTCCTCTGCAAGAGCAACCAGTACTCTTAACTGCTGAGCCATCTCTCCCGCTTGTTTTGCCTTTCTTAAATAAGGCAAATACATTGTTTCCTTTATCCTTATCTTCTTTTTGCTTCTTAGTTAAAAATGAGAGTATTGATACTATGAACCGTCAGGTGGAAGCTGACTTTTGTTGTGGGATATGGCAGGGGCTAGGCTGCCTGCTGCCTGTAAAGATTTGTGCTCAACTGCCCAGTGAATGGCACCTCCGTGTTCATTTTCCACGTTAAAGCTGGCAGTGAACGTGCCACTCTATGTCAACCTCGTGAAGAATGAGGAGGTCTTGATATCAGCCTATGCCAATGACGGTGCTCCAGACCATGAGACCACAAGTAACCATACTATTCTACAGCTCCTCCAGGGAGACCATATATGGTTACGTTTGCACAGGGGAGCGATTTATGAAAGTAGCTGGAAATACTCAACATTTTCAGGCTGTCTTCTTTATCAGAATTGAAAGGCAATTCAGAGCTGACAGTAAAAGGTGGTAGTCTCACCATTGGGATCCAGGGAAAAGTAGTCCTTGCCCTGGTGACTGACTGGTTTGGGAAAATGTTTGGTTCCTTGGGGAAGGAGGAGGTCCTTTACTTGTTTGTTTTCCTCCTTAGGTGAAAACTTTCAAGCGAAATGACAATTAGCTCTAATTTGGCATTTCATAAATCGTGATGTAGCCTCCGCTAGTACTGCAGTGAATGTATATTGTTTGCACTTAACCCTTAACTGTGCTAACCTGGTCAGCTTACTGAACTGACTACCTCAACGTCAGACAAGTTACAATGCCTTGTTGTGCCTCAATAAAAAACTTAATTCCAAAAAAAAAAAGATTTGTGCTCCTGGCAACAAGTATTACACAGGGGCACAGGGGCTGGATCCTAGCCACACTCATGGGTCTTTAATACACTGAAGGAGAATCCCAAGTGGGTTTACTGTGGAGAGTCATCCACTGTAGTGTTCCCCTCACTCATTAGGTGTAATCACAGTCAACTATCAGTATGTAATAAAGGCTTCAATATATCGGTTAAAGTGTTTTGCCTGTTTTATACTGAGGAAAACTACTGGAATGTAAAATAATATTGTCTTTTAGTATCTAGCAGATAGGAGGTACTGTGTCACACAGCTGTTGGAAGAATTGATAGTGAAGTATCTGCCTGATGAGCTGTCTGAGAGAAAAAAAATATATGATGAAGAAACTGCTGAACTCTCACAGTAAGTTTCTTCTCATAAAAATAACAGATTATGAATCACTGCTCTTGAAAATAGCTAAGAGACCCTTCCCACAACACAGTTTAGCATAGAGGCAAATTTTAAACAAAGATTGGTTACATTCCCTGTCCTCAGTAGGCAGAGTTTTATGAAAGCTTAGTTGGTGGTGTCCAGGTATTCTATAGGGAGTTATTGGGCACAGCCCTTGGGGTTGTGGCAGTGTTTGACACTGGGGAGGAATTTCCTGCAGTGACAACAGACAATGGAAAATGAGGTAGGGATGGAACACGTAGCATGGATGCTAACAGTGGCTGTCCCTGTCCAGGAGGACGAAGGTTGAGAGCCAGTGGCATATGTCAGTGTGGGTCTTAACAGTCTAGAGATTTGAAAGACAGACACTTGAAGACTTTGGGACCAAATTCTCAGTAAAGGTCCTAGCTGGGAGAAACACCCAGGACCACTTTGGGGTGTTAGCATCTTCCCCCGCTGCTCAGGTCTGGTCAGAGCTAGGGAGGTCTGCCTGGCTCTGCCTGCCCTGTACACCTTTCTTTCTTGAGCTTCTTTCTCTTCCTTTTTCCTTTGATGCTTTTTCTCTTTTGACCAGACACTTGGGTCACTCTCCATTTCCTTCACAGGTTCAATTTCATAACTATTCCTTTTGCTTTGTCTTAAACAGAACACTGAAGAACACTGTAATTTTATGTGCTATTTAACAACTGCTTGCTCCTGTTGTTTTTTTTTTTTTCAAAATATAAATGGAACATGTTATATTTCTTACTTTCTAAAAAGAAACAAATTGTGCCTTGTAGGACTTTCCTTTTTCAACATTTCAGACCGAGGTTATGAAATGTCTTGAGTAGGCCTGTGGCCTTCAGGACCAAAAAGATTTCTGATCTTTCCATTACAGGCATTGATGGTGATTTGTCCTCCCAAGAAATCAGTGTTTTATTGTGTAGTTTTATGATAGAAAATAATTCTGATGTGAAGACTCGGCATCTTTGTGGTGCACACTGGGAAGACTAGATTTAAGAGATCTGTGCTGTGCCAGGCATGGTGGTACAGACCTTTGATCCCAGCACTCAGGAAGCAGAGGCAGGCAGATCTCTGTGAGTTCAAGGCCAGCCTGGTCAACATAGTGAGTTCCAGGACAGCTGGGGCTACAGGGAGACCCTGTCTCAAAAAGACGAAAAAAAAAAAGAAAAAATCTGCACTGACAGTCCAGATCTGGGGCACAGTGGCAAAACCAGACCACTCTCCAGAAAATGAGTGAGGAATGGTGGAACAAGCAGGTGCAGAGCTGAGCGTGGTGGCGAGACTGGGGGTCTTGCTACTTACTAGTGAGGCTACTTTTTTTATTATTCAGTTTTATTTTTTATGTGTGTGAGTGTTGCTTTCATGTATGTATGTGCACCCTTGTCGTGCAATGCCTGTAGAAGTCAGAAGAGGGATCCCCTGTAACTGGAGTTACAGTTTTTAGCTGCCACATGCTGTGCTGGGAACTGAACCCAGATCCTCTGTAAAGAGCAACCAGTGCTCTTAACTGCTGAGCCATCGCTCCAGAAGTGGGACTACTTTTGACCACATATTTTAAACATATCTCTTTGAAGTCTCACATATATTTAGGTGATTAATGGTCATGTAGCAGAAAACACTGAAAAAGGAGAAGCAAAGCTGTAATCCAGAACCCAAAGTATGTTGGCATACACATGCCTTTCCAGTTTTTATCTAAATGCACTCAAACAAATGTGGAGCCTTATTGGTTGTTCTTTTATAGCCTCCCCCTTTTCTGTAATGTGAGTAGTTTCTGTAAGTCAGTATTGCCTATGGTCTTCTGTGGAATGCATCACACCCCATCTTAGGGAGAAACCACCTTCTCTCCATACTTTACTCATTGCTCTGTTTGTATTTTTAGTATTGAGAATTTCATGTATGAGTACTATGTTTACATCTTTCCATCCTCCAATTCTTCCCGTGTCTCCTGGCACACCCTCCCAATTTCTTATCTTCTGCTTTGACTATTATTGTTACCTATACATACACATATGTAATGCACTGAGTCCATTAAGTGGTGTACATGTGTTTAGGGCTGACTACTTGAGATTGGATAATCTGTCGGGGAGCTCGTCTCAGGAGAGCCCTGACTCTCTCTCCCTCAGTTGCCACCGCTGGCCTGGAACCCTTCATCTACTTCCCTAATGTCTCTTTTTGCTGTGGGGAGCTTTGGCTACTCTCCACAGTGCTACTGTGAATGCCTGTATCATATTCCTGGGACTGTTTGGGAAAGGAAGCCTGTTGGCTCCAAAGACATGAACATTTTCTATGTGTAGAGCCAAGTGCTGAAGTATGCATGTTCCTCCTCGACTGCCCCCATATGGCCAGTCTTTCCTGTCCCCTGTTGCCTGAGCAGTGCCCATCTCTTCTTACCTTCCACCAGTCTGGCAGTAAAAAGGTGTCTCAACCATTTAGTTATCTGAGAAAAATGTGCTATTGAATTAACTTTTTTGATAGTTTTAAAAAAATACTTATTTTTATTTTATGTGTATGAGTGTATTGCCTGCATCTGTGTAAGCGTACCCATGTTGTGTAATACCTGCGGAGGTCAGAAGAAGGCATCAGATCCCCTGGAACTGGAACTACAGATGGTTCTTAACCACCACGTGGGTGCTGGGAATCAAACCCCGGTCCTCTGCAAGAGCAGTCAGTGCTCTTAACCGCTGAGCCATCTCTCCAGCCCCGATTTTCTTGATAACAGGGAGACCCTGTCTCAAAAAGACCAAAAAAAAGAAAAAGTAACTTTAATGCTTAAGAGTTTTTGTCTATTTTGTGAGCCCATTTTTTCTCATTGTTTTATGGATAAAACATAGTTATGGATATGGATAAAAGCTATAACTCTGTCCTCTATCAAGTATTTTAAACATGTTCTCAGTATGCCAATTATGATAATTCTCTTGCTCCATAAAGGTAGTTAGCTCTATATAGTTAACCTGCTGTTTAACCTTATAAATAAGAGAATCATAATCAAATTTTTCATGTCAATGGAGCATCGGTATGATTTTAATAAAAGGGACACTGCTTTTTCTTGCCTAGAAAAGAACAGCACTTGTTTCAAATAGATTTTTTTTAACTAATTTATTACTGGTAATTAATTTATTACTGTAAGCCTTACCTATTTTGTTGTTTGATTCAGTCTATAACAATGAAATTTCTTGTCCTTCAGCTTGACCAAGAATGTTCCAATATTTGTTTGCACTATGGCCTACCCCACTGTGCCTTGCCCACTCCATGTATTTGAGCCAAGATACAGGCTCATGATTCGAAGAAGTATGCAGACTGGAACGAAGCAGTTTGGAATGTGTGTCAGTGATACACAGAATAGGTATGCTCCTTGTGAATGCTGACGTTTGTATTTAGACTAGAACTTTCTTGGTATATGGCTATGTGCATTCTTATGTTTAAACAATGTTTTTCTTTCAGTTTTGCAGATTATGGTTGTATGTTACAAATTCGAAATGTACATTTCCTACCTGATGGAAGGTCTGTGGTTGATACAGTTGGAGGGAAGCGGTTTAGGGTTTTAAAAAGAGGGATGAAAGATGGATATTGCACTGCAGACATTGAATATCTGGAGGATGTTAAGGTATTCGAAGTGTTCTTTTCCAGTGCATTCTGGGCTGCTGTGTCCTGGGGGTTGGTACAGGCACATAGTTGGGATCTTCTTACCACGTCACCCAGTTTATCACTGTTACTAAGAATTAGCTCCAGCTTCCTTTTCCCTGTCTTGCTCTTGGATCATTGCCCATTCAGGAGAACTTGGGGGAAATGAAGCTACATCCTTTTTATTTTGTAGGCATGCCAGCCAGCACAAATCCCAGACTATACATGTGCATGTACATGTGTATGTATACATGCCAATCACTTAGCAATAGCAGTTAACTAATTGAACTTCCAATTCAATTTGGAAAGTTTGCTAAGTAAAGCTAATATAATTAATAGATTAAAATCTGATGTAAAAGTAAAACAATCCTGGCCAGGCGTGGTGGTGCACACCTTTAGTCCCAGTACTCAGGAGGCAGAGGCAGGCAGATCTTTCTGAGTTCGAGGCCAGCCTGGTCTACATAGTGAGTTCCAGGACAGCTGGGGCTACAGGAAGACCCTGTCTCAAAAAGACGAAAAAAAAAAAAAAAAGTAAAACAATCCTTTAAGGATCACTCTATGTATTAAGATTGTTCCTGTGCTAGAGAATATCTTAATTGTAAAGTAAATACAGTTGGATGCTGATCTAAAATTGTAGGGCATTACAGATAACAGCGCTATCAGTGTGTATGCACTGCTGATGGTTTTCCTGAGAGGGATTATGGTGACCAATATCTTTCTTGGGGTTAGTGTGGCCTTTTAATGTTTCCAGAACCAAATTTACCAACTGCAGCGAGTTGAGGTTCTATAAAATGGTTGAGGTTTAAGTATCAAATTTTCTCTGAGAAAGACATTATAAATCATAGGTCTTACATTATCACTGTTTATTGGTCTGTTTGGGCCCTTCATTTCAGTCAACATTTACTGATTTTTGGGACTGCACATTTTCACAAACAGTTCATGGAGTTTTCACACTGATACAGCTAACAGCTGGAGAGAGTATAATTCAGAGGTACTAATTTGCCCAAGATTCTCTTTGAAGTATTAGAAATGATTGAAGGCCAGCTCTGGCTGCATGTTCTGCACTTTGTTATTATGCCATACTGCTTTTTCAGTGATGTGCTTGCTTGGCCTGATGCTGCCTGTTTCTTTCTCACTAGGATGCCATGGAGTACACTTTGCTCTGTCAGTTCTCTTATGTCACAGCTTTTCTTATGGTAGTAATACCATTCTCTGTGACTGCTAATGAAATCCTAAGTTCTATTTAACTGTTGTAGCAACATTCTTAACTTTAAAAGTTTGCTTTTAAATTTTCTGTCTGTTTCTTGGCTGGCTTCGTTTTCCTATCACAGAGTCATAATTCTTTACCATTTTAAGTATTTTTAAGCACACGGTTCAGTGGTGTTAAGTATGTTTATGTTATGCAAAAGACAATTGATTTTAGTACTTAGTTCTTATTTTCATGTCGGGTTTTTCAAAAGTAAAATGTATACCCTTTTGTGTCTTGTGTCTTTTGTATTTATTTCAAACTGTTTCCAGAGTCCCTTTGCTGTTTTGTGTTAGTCATCCTTGAAGTATGAACAGCTGAATCACCCTGCTATTTTTTTTATATTGCCTTTATTCACTTACTTGTTTATTTGGTGTGTGTTGTCGTAAGTGTGCCACAGAGCTCATGTTGAGGTCAGAGGACAACTTGAAGTAATTGATCTCTCCTTCCACCTTGTGGGTCCCAGGGATTGAATTCAGGTCGTTAGGTTTAGTAGCAAGCACCTTTACCAGCTGAGGCATCCATCTTGAAGCACTTGTTCAGAACAAGTGTGGGATCTAAGTGTGTTAATGGTCTTGATGGAAAATGATGAAGCTCTTCCACCTGTGCTGTGAAAGTCTTATGGATCACAGGCTGGAAGATGATGTTGTTTTATTTCACATTTCCATTTGGTGGTTCCATGGTCTAAAGGGTGCGTGGAGGAGTTACAGAGCCTTGGGCCTTTATAGCAGAAGTTGAAACTTGCATGCTGTATGCCCATTTTGTATGCCAAGTATTTGTTGCTGCTTTTTGTGTGTGTTCTGACCCAGTTCTCTGGCAAAAGATGTGTTTGTGCCTGCCCGTCTGTTACTGCTTCTGCCATTGGTCTGTGCCCTGGTTGCTCCACTTTCCTTTTTGTTGTAGCTGTCTTACTCCAATTCTGTGTTGTGCTGCTTGCAAAAGACAAAAGACATTCCAAATTTGTGGAAACCTTTGAACCAGACAGAGTTCACTGTCAATCATACTTCTCCCTCTGTGGCCTGTCATTTGAGTTCCTGCCTGCTAAGTCAGCAAGGCTCAGTGGAGATCAGGCCTTGCTCCTTCTGGTGTGCTGCTGTAGCACTTTGGGAGGCAGAAATATACGCTATCACATGAGAACAGTGCTGGCAGTGTAGCTCTGAAGTAGGAAGACCCCTGTTTTCTGATGCTTTATTTGTGTTTCTGTGGAATGGTGTTAAGGACACAGAACTCTTACTAACTGTTTCTTTTTAGATTGAGAATGGAGATGAGATACAGAGTCTGAGAGAGCTTCATGATTTGGTATACTCTCAAGCCTGCAACTGGTTTCAGAATTTAAGAGACAGATTTCGAAGCCAAATTCTTCAACACTTTGGATCAATGCCCGAGAGGGAGGAAAACCTTCAGGTAGGATGGCTTTGAATAGTGCCACTAAAGTCTCACTTGTTCATAAACCAAAATTAACTTTTTACGTTTCCTTGTTTTATTCCCCTTTGACCCTATCTTTAGAATTAAGACCGTATTCTCTAGGGCATTAACATAGGAGAGGATGGAAATAGCCACCAGTTGAGATGCCAGTAGGAGAGAGTGCCAGAGGAAGGAAGTTTGTACCTGAGAATCTACAGGAGGGATAAGAGGTTAAAAATGGGCTGCTGGCCTGTTAAGCTGTTACTCTGAGACCTCTGTGCCTTCTCACCCATCAGCTCTTGCTGTTGCTCTTTGGCAGTTGAGAGATACTGCCACAGTATTCTTCTCCTTGAAAATGAGAATGGAGATGAGATACAGAGTCTGAGAGAGCTTCATGATTTGGTATACTCTCAAGCCTGCAACTGGTTTCAGAATTTAAGAGACAGATTTCGAAGCCAAATTCTTCAACACTTTGGATCAATGCCCGAGAGGGAGGAAAACCTTCAGGTAGGATGGCTTTGAATAGTGCCACTAAAGTCTCACTTGTTCATAAACCAAAATTAACTTTTTACGTTTCCTTGTTTTATTCCCCTTTGACCCTATCTTTAGAATTAAGACCGTATTCTCTAGGGCATTAACATAGGAGAGGATGGAAATAGCCACCAGTTGAGATGCCAGTAGGAGAGAGTGCCAGAGGAAGGAAGTTTGTACCTGAGAATCTACAGGAGGGATAAGAGGTTAAAAATGGGCTGCTGGCCTGTTAAGCTGTTACTCTGAGACCTCTGTGCCTTCTCACCCATCAGCTCTTGCTGTTGCTCTTTGGCAGTTGAGAGATACTGCCACAGTATTCTTCCATCCTTGAAAAAATCTACTCACCTCTCCCTTTGATCCCCTACATCTTATCCCATCATTTCAATCCTTTTTTGTTTTTTCTGTTCATGTTGAATACTTCTGCTGTCATAAAACTATTATTCCTGAGGTCTTTTTCAAGTAGTTAGGATCTACATTAAATTTGAACCTAACCAATGTGTTTCAGACACTCTGTGCATGAAGCTCTGTGCAGTAGCAATGGCAAGAACCATAAAGGGAGGGTCCTTACCTTGGGACATTTGATTACAGATTCAGGAAAGAACCAACTCTTTGGTGTGACATTTTAAATTGAATGAAGTATTTGTTGTCCAAAGATGACAAATTTCAGGGTGAAACATGTAATAATGTAAATATATTACATGTAAGTAAGTACATGTAACTAGATGTAAGTAATCACATGAAGACAGAGTGATAATAAGCCCCAGTGTGATACACTGTATCATCCCATATTTCAAAGGTTGGTCTAAGTCTGCCTGGATTTCAGTTAATCACTTTGTCTTTACTTGAAATTTCAGTGTCAGACCATCTTCAAACTGAGGCAGAGCTCATGCTGGGTCTGTTATATTGCTGTTGCTACATGTTTGTTTCATCCTGGCCACCTGAGTCTGACTAAACATTATAGAAATAAGCCTTCATAAGAAAACACAGAATAAGTACATTTTAAATCTTAAGAAAACAACTTGTGCGATAGCTGAGCATTGCTCCCCATTGCCCTCCCACCCTCCTCTCTTACTGTTCAGTCTCTGCCACTCCTTTCTGTTAATGTTATCTTGGGAATCAGGAAACCAAAGCAGCCACTGTCTATAATGCAGGAATGAAGGGTATATTATAAGGTGAACAGTTTATACAGCAGGTGGAAAGCTGAAGGAGTGATGGTCAGGGGCCGCTCCATTTGGTCACAGAATCTCACCACAGATCATCTGAAACAGCAAAGGAGGGTGCTTCAAAAGAACTTGCAGGGAATGTGCAAGAATTCTTAAGACCCTAGGAAGTTCCTAGCTCTGATCTGTTTATCAGTCAGCAGAAGTGGAGTGGGTGGTTTTCTAGAACTCTCTAGAAAGTTCTCATCCACACTTTGCAAGAGTCTCCAGAGAATAATGACCTCTTTTCCAATATCTGCTTCTTATAGGCCTGGCCTAGTCTATCCTGGAGACACATGGGACCAGGGAAGGGTGGGGAGGATTCTGGGAAATTTAGTCTCTGGAATGCAGAAGGAAGTAGAAGTGTGATTCATTGGGAATGACCAACGGGCAGGTCATAGACACTGTAGTTAGTCACCCTGAAACGTCATGTGTCAGGTCTTACAGCAGTGCAGTGTGCCTGAAAGGAGGTGTTCACATCCTGCGTGAATTCGTAATTGTTTCTGAAGCCACTAGTCGGCCCTTGCAGCCTTGCAGGAACTCCTTGCCAAAGAAAGAAAGATTTAGTTTTCAAACTAAATGGGAAACCAAGTTTTTTTTTCTTTTTTTTTTTTTGTCTTTTTGAAGCAGGGTCTCCCTGTAGCCCCAGCTGTCCTGGAACTCACTATGTAGACCAGGCTGGCCTTGAACTCACAGAGATCCACCTGCCTCTGCCTCCCAAGTGCTGGGACTACAGGTGTGCGCCACCATACCCAGCTTTCCTTCTGTCTTTTTAAGAATTTTGATTTTTGGATAAATTTTTAGGCATCAATTAAATTTGATAATGTATATACATTTTAAGGAAGTAATTCTCAACCAGGGATAGTTTTGTTCCCATGAGACATTTGGCACTATCTGGAAACATTTTTGGCTGTCACTGCTGGAGAGGTGCTGTCGATGTCTAGTGGGTAGAAGTCAGAGGTGCTGCTGATGTACTGCAGAGCACAAGACTGAATCACACCTCAAAGGACCCTCTGGTCCTAAATATCATAACCTGAGGCTAAGAGCCATGCCATAGGGCAGCATAAAGCACTGGGACAAGTTGGCTAGGGTCAGGTCTGGATTGGAATCCTGGCTCTGGAACTTCTGAGCTGAGAGGTCATGGATGGTTGGAATTTCCCAGCTTCAATTTCTCTTATTTATATAGACATAATAGTCTGCTCTACATGATTGTTGAGTCCAAATAGTACGCAAAGTACTTTTTAGTAGTCTTTATGGTTCCATTTTGTTAACACTCTAATAAATTATTCGTTGGTTTTAGGCAACGCCTAATGGCCCTGCGTGGTGTTGGTGGCTCCTGGCAGTCCTTCCTGTAGACCCTCGCTATCAGCTCTCAGTACTATCAATGAAGTCTTTGGAGGAGCGGTTGACAAAGATACAGCACATACTGACTTACTTTTCTAGAGACCAGTCTAAGTAACTTCTCGGGTCTTACTTTACACTTGCTGTTAGCCAAAAGGCTGAGAAGTTGGATCTTATTTTAAAGTCGCCCTAATCTGGCTGCATTGATGGCTGGATTGTCCGCTGCCTTTGCACATCCAGTCCTGGTTTAAGAAATGTAATGAAATTTCTTTTCCTCCAACCTCCTTATGGATTTGCAAATGAATACCTTCAACTAGGTCTTAGACCACTAAGAACTTGCACAGAAAAACACACTGAATGTGTGTGAAACCTCCACATTGTAATGAAGTTGCACTACGTACCATACTCTAAATGAACTAAGTACTCTGTGTGTGTGTGTGTGTGTGTGTGTGTGTGTGTGTTGTTGTACATGTGAGTGCCTAGGCTGTATATGTGTGCCTGGTTCCCCGTGGTGGGGGTATTATTTTTTTTTTTTCCTTGGTTTTAAATTAAAAAAAAAAAAAAAAAAAAAAAAAAGCCATAGAGAGCAGAACTTGCTGAGGGTCATTTACTGCCCAAGTTTACAAAAGTAGTGATAAAAGTTTTCGCGAATTGAATTTGCCTCAGATTTATTTGTCCTAATGCTTACATTTGCACAAGTATGTAAACTATGGTACAGAATATCATTTTTTTGTTGTTGGAAATACTGCTCTTGCTGAACTGTCTTGACCATTGACTATGACACAGTTTCTTATTTATGTAAATACTTGCATCCCAGTGGCCGATAGGCAGGGATGCAAAAATCTAGAGCCAGTTTTCAGGAACAATTGCAAACCTGACATGGTACTGTGCATCCATTCATAAAACACTTAAAACTGTGAAAATATGGTTTACATTGAAATGTACATAGAAGTAAAGTGGGGAAGTCGATTCAGTACCAGTTAGCTTGTACATTTTAGGGAGCTTTTCACATTAATTGCTTGTCTGTATATGTGTGTTTAAAGACTTAACATAGTGTATATGTCCATTAAGGATCTGGGGGAAGAGGAGAAGCTTGATATAGAACTAAGCTTTTAGAGTTTGTTTTGTTTTCACTTCCGGTCTTGGTGCAGACGTTAGTTATGCCTTATTCATATAACAGTTAGAGTGCCATGCCCTGACATGGCTTATATCCATGCTGCCCTAGATACTTTTATAATTATTTGTTGCAAACCTGTGACTGTCTCTATTAACTTTCTTTTATGTAAGTAATTTGTACAAGTTTCTTAAAATTTTTGCTTTTGCTTATTTAATTTTGAATAAAAGCTAAATTCATAATACTTTTTTCTTAAATTGTAGAACAGTGTCAAAACAAACAAACAAAAAAGTCAATACAGGAACCGAACTGTATATAACATAGAACAGATGAGTTTTGCTTACTATTTTGTAACACACATAGGCTGTAGTTTTCAAAACTTTTTTTTATCTTTTTTTTTTCTTTTTGGTCTTTTTGAGACAGGGTCTCCCTGTGCCCCAGCTGTCCTGGAACTCACTATGTAGACTAGGCTGGCCTTGAACTCACAGAGATCCACCTGCCTCTGCCTCCCGAGAGCTGGGGTTAAAGGTGTGCACCACCATGCCTGGCTTTTTATGAACATAGAATGCAGCGTCTTATGGAGGCTTCAGGTCCTTAGAACCATCATCAAAAGCACTGTTTTATAACCTTTTGAAATATCCATATCCCTTTAGGATAACAATAACATTCATATAGGCATCAAGACATTTCATTATACATATTTGACCATTTCTGCCTCCAATTTCCTAGCTAAGATTTCCCCTATATTTACTAAGTCCTCATTTTTCTTTTGTTTGTGTTTGGGGACAGGGTCTCACTGTGTGGTCTAAGCTGTCTTCTGACTGAGTCCACCCCAGTCTCCCAAGTGCTGGAATTACAGGTGCACGCCACCATCCCCATAAATTAACATCTTTCAATATTGAATGCATTCAGTGAAAATGTGTTCAGAAATGGCTCCCTAAAGGATCCCACTCACTCCCACAATTATGCCAGTTGGGAATAGTTGCACAGGGCCTAGTGGTACAGGCTTGTGACCTCAGCACTCTGGAAGCTGAGGCAGGAGGATTGCAGGATTGGGAATTCAAAGCCAGTATGAGCAACTTAGTGAGCCTTGTTTCAAAATTAAGGAAAAAAAGACAATAAAAAGGCTGAGGCTATAGCTCAGGAGCAGCAAGCCTGCCAGGCATGTGTAAGGCCCTGGGTTTGCTCCCTGGTGCTATTAAAAAATAATGTCTTCATGGAAAACATCTAAAGAATGGACGATAGTTTAACAAGTGTATTTTATCAATTGTTTTGAATTGTTAAACTTTCTTCTTTTTTATTAAAAAAAAAGTGTTTGTTAAAATTTGTGCCAGTATAAACACAGTATTTGCCTATATGTTTCTCAGTACCAGGTGCCAAAAGGAGTTACCTAGTGTTGGATCACATCTTTCATGTGTAATTTACATGTGTACGTACATACATAAATGGGCATTAAATGATTTCTGTATTTGTATAGGTGCAGATACCCAATGGAAATGCGTGGGCCTTGTTTATCATTTCATCCAAATTTTGTGAGCTATGGTAGTTATTCTATCCAGCAATTTTTTTAATCTGATTTTTTTTCTTAATACACTCTGCATCTTATTAAAAAAAGTAAAGAATCAAAATTTTTTACTTTATCAGTTTAAGTGCTTAAATTCTGTCCTAAGTTCAACATTTTAAGTCATAGTATCGAGGTGGCTATTTTATATACCAGTGTACATGTCCAATTCTTCCTAGGTCCGATTTAGATGTCTCAGGTAGGGACCCTGAAATCCATAGCACTTTCTTTGCTTATTGACTCTTAGGGGAGTAAATGAAGTAAATATGCAAACCTTCGAGTATTTTCATAACTGGTCCAGCAGTTAGGACAGATTTAAGATTTAAGTGGTCACAGCCTGACCACTAGATATAATTGAAATGTGCCATTTAAACTGGGTCTAGTGGCAATCACCTGTTATCTCAGGACTAAGGAAGCTGAGGCACAGGGATTACAAATTCAGTGAAACATGGACTACACAATGAGACTGGTTTATGTGGGAGGGAAAAGTTCCATCTGAGAGCAAGAAAATAAAGGTGGCTGGAGTGAAAATGACTTTGCTTCCTTTTCCTCCCCAAATTAAATAGCAATAAAAGGAAAACCATGAAATCTGATGGGATGAGATCAAAACCCTAGGAACTGACATGTTTTTAAAGAAATGTCTGAGATACAAATGAAAGAGCTTGCTGGGCGTGGTGGAGCACACCTTTAATCGCACCACTCAGAGACAGAGGCAGGCAGATTTCTGTGAGTTCAAGACCAGCCTGGTCTACATAATGAGTTCCAGGCCAGCTGGGGCTACAGGGAGACCCTGTCTCAAAAAGACCAAGTGAAGGTGCTGGCAAATGAGGCCAGAGGAAAGCGTGGCTTTGCAGAAGACGAGACAGAAATGAACATAATTACAGGGAAGCCCAACGTAGGTGAAAGTCATGGCAGACTCACCTGGGGAGGCTGTTCTAATGGTCAGATAGATCACTTGGACTTGGGCCCTCCTTGGTGGGCAGTAGGCCACAGCAGTTGTTTTCAGTCCAGAGTATTGAATGCAGGCATTGGGCCAGAGACCCACCGAACCCTCCATGGCTACCAATCCCCTGTAGGATCAGAAGCCTCCACACAGGCATGCCACTAGCCTACCTCACATGACGGCTTGTTCCCGTATGTTCCATGATTGGCACAGCTAGGCCACTGTCACTGAACCACCAACCCTAAATATTTTAAAGACAAGCACATTCTAGAAGTTTGAAGAAAACGAACAAGACAATAAATATCCTGAGATTTGTGGATGTGCTGCAGTCTTTCAAAAGATGTAAGAACCTAAAAAGTTCCTCAGTCTCTTACCATTAGAGCTTTTAATAAAGGATGTGGGATCAACAAATTAATCATGAAAATGAAGTCTGTAGTTGAGCTAAATGGAGCCTAAATGCAGATAATCAGATGGAGGATCAAGCTTAGGTCCTTCCCAGAACATGATGCAGAGTTCAATGAACTAGAAATGCGAGGGAAAACGGACATGAATAATAGATTCAAGTGTTTAACATCCATCCAAGAGAAGTTCCTTAGGAGTCAAAGGAAGGAAAGAATACGAGTAATTTTCCATGAGTCAAAATGAATACAACATTCTAGATGCATTCTTAAAGACCAGATCTATCCATATAAAAGGAAAGAATAGCTGGGCAGGGTGGTATGGTATGTTTTACACCCAGCACTCAGGAGGCAGAGGCAAGGTGAGTTACTTGAGTTTAAGGCCAGCCTGATCTACATAGTAAGTTCCAGGCTAGCCATGCTACATAGTGAGACTCTGTATCAAAAAAGGGAAAATAAGGGTAACTTACACAGACAAAAGACAGACAAAATAGTAATAATTCAATCATCTCGCATTGGCCAGCAATGAATGAATGACAGGATCAGAAATACAAGAGTAAGGATGTGAGTTTTCTGCCTAAGCCACTGTTTAAATGCCAGTATTTAAAAACTGTCAGTGTTTTTTACAGATATTTAGGATATAGCTTAAATGAGCTGTCTTAAACAGACCTGCCTCTAAACAGCTTCATCTGTTCACCAAAATTAAGTTGTGTATTAGAGATTGTTCATTTTTTTGAAGAGGGGTAGCATCCAACACTTAGGATTTCAAAGGTATATTTTCTTAATTTCAAAATGTAGGAATCACAGTTGCCCCTCAGAAAAATCCAGTGAGGAAGGTGTTCTTGTTCCAATGAGGAAGCAGAAATGTTAAGCTAAGTGTAATTGTCTAAGGATTATGGAGCTTCCCTGGGCTCAGAAGGCTTTGAATCTAGGCAGTCTCCACCTTGCTGCCATACCAAGTAATCAAAAGTCAAAGAGCAAAGGGTCCAGGTATGATGGCAGCTTAGGATTTACTGACATGGATGGATTTAGGACCTTTGTAAACTGAGATGCTTAAATCAGGTTTGGCTCTGTATTTTGAGAAGCAGGGTAAATTGATAATCTTTTTAGACAGAAATGGTCAGGATCATTAAAATATTCTTAAAAGCCAGTAGAATTTGGGAGTTGTTAAAGAAGTAATTTACAAATAAAACGCACATATGTAATGATAGGTAGTATACTTTTTTCAGTGTCTTTACAACAGGAAGAATAGAAATAAGCATGCTAACGAGAAGTAACAGAGACTCAAAGGAGGATTATTTAGTCATTAAGAATAACTTAAGAGCCAGATGTGGTGGTGCATGCACTTAGGAGGTATAGGCCAGTCTGATCTACGTAGTAAGTTCCAGGCCAGCTGTGGATACAGGGAGATCCTATCTCAAAAAAATGAGTGGAAATAAAGAGGC